AAGAAGAAGAAGAAGAAGAAGAAGAAGAAGAAGAAGAAGAAGAAGAAACAACAACAACAACAACAATGAGGAAAAAAATTCGTGGTGGGAAGCAATATAGAAAGTCACACAAGGTTAAAACAGAGTTTGTTTTCGATATTATTCACTTCCTGATCCCCTGATTAAAAAGGACAAATGCTGGGGTGGGGGGGGAAACTTTACTGAAACTCTGGAAGAAATTTCAAGGTCCGTCTTGAAAAATGAAAACAAACAAACACACCAGGAACATTTTGCCAGAAAGATTCCCCCAAATCTGCATGTTATATAGCACATGCACACAAACTCCTCAAGGATCATAGCACACACACACGCACACAAATATTTTCCAAGACATGGCAGCTCAGAGGAAGGAGTTACTTGCTGTTTTTCAACAGGCACTAAGAAAGGCACATGGCACTTCAACAAGTCGAAAAAGCTATAAAAAGCCAGAATTAATCATAAATTCCAATATTCTTAGCGTGCAACACGGCAGATTTCAACGCCCATCCATTCCCCCCTCCCTTCTTTCTTTTGATTAAAACATTGCTAGATCCTCTCCGCATAATTCTCAACCCACGAAAAGGTTACAACACAGACTGTCATCCCTCTTAACCCCTTCCAGAGGAAAGCAAGTTTTAATTGCTCGATGAGAAAAATGAGGGAGGGGGGAGACAGACATGGATGTTATAGCCAGCTGTTCTCACTAGTAAGTTTCATGACAGAGGAACAAAATCAGGAAATGGAGAGGAAATTGTGTTTGCGGACTACTCTTAGCGCTACGATCTCCATGAATCTGGGCTTGGTGGCTACAAGGGACGGTGAAATCAGTCCCTCTAGATCAGGGATGTCCAACCATGGCAACTTTTGGACTTCAAGTCCCAGATAATCAACTCTCAGAATTGCCATGCTGGCTGGGGAATTCTGGGAGTCAAAAGCCCACAGGTCTGAAAGTCGCCAAGGTTGGACAGCTCCGTTCTAGATATTAAGAGTCACTAGGCACCTTCTGTGTCTCCCCAGTAGGTAAATCTAGACTCAGGAAATGTTTTCTCCAGCTAAGAGTCTGTAGGGGTTTCTCAGTCATTCAGGTCATGGACTTTTAGCTATGCAATTTGGGATGAACACCCTTGGAATGGTGTGGGAGTAGGAATGGATTTCCAGAGGGGAAAATCGCAGACTACAGGAATGCTTCAATGACCCCCTAAAAGGATGCAACTTGCCAGCTGTCTGCAAGACCTATAAATCCTTCCATTCCCCACCATCCTGTCAGAGCTAAAGAAGCTTCTTGGATGAGAAGTGAAAGGTCTTCAAAACAAAAAAAAACAAAAAACAAAAAACAAGAAACTCCAGTTGCCTCCTGAAAAAAAACACCTTTGGGACAACCATGACTTGGAGGACTGAGAATCTCTACAGACTTTTAGCTGTACAGTTTGGGATGGACACCCTTTGAAAGCTGTGGGAGTAGGAATGGATTTCCAGAGGGAATAAAATTGCAGGCTACAGGAATACAGGAGCTCTAATTCAGATGATCCTGAGGACACAGATAAACCTGCAAGTGGCCTCAACAACCCTCTAAAAAGATGCAAATGACCAGCTGTCTGCAAAGGAATATAAATCCTTCCACTCTGCACCATCCAGTCAGAGCCGAAGAAGCTTCTTGGATGAGAAGCGAAACGTCTTCAAAGAAAAGAAAAAAATAAGAAAGTCCAGTTGCCTCATGAAAAAGCACCTTTGGGATTTCCAGCTAAGAGATAAAAGTTTAGGGCAAATAATTTAAGAAAATGGGAATCCAAAATAAACCAAAGGTGGGAAACAGCGTCCTGCTGTTTCTAAAAGGGCAAAAGGTCACCAATAAGAAGATTTTACAGTGACCGAAGTTGATAAGTTTTCTCCAAAGAAGGATTTCAACTAAGCTTGGATTTTAGCCTCTTATTGTGTTAATGCCGGAGAGCAGGAACACACTTTCAAACAACATGAAAAAGGTTTGGGTCTATATAATCAGCCAAGCTAACACCTTAGCACTCATTCAATTTCTCTCTCTCTCAACATTTAACCTTAGATTATGGATACAGGGTTGAAAATAAAGAAGTGTGATCTGGCCAATTAATTTAATATAAACACGGGAACTGTTCAAGACAGGTTAAATCTGACGCAACCTTTTCTAGGCAAATTTTCCACCAGGATGTCACAGGTAGATTAAGAGGGGGACCCTCAGAACTACCTGTGGGGATGCTGCAGCGGTCGAAAGTGTGAAAAACGATCATAAATCACATTTTTTTCCCAGTGCCACTATAACTTTGAACACTCACTAAACCAGAGGTCCCCAAACTTGGCAACTTTAAGACTCGTGGACTTCAACTCCCAGAATTCCTCAGCCAGCTATGCTGGGTTGAGTTTGGAGACCTCTGCACTAATCGAACTATTGTATCGTAAGCCAAGGACTACTACCCTGTTTCTCCAACAATACAGCCTCCCCCAATAGGAAGTCCCAGCATGTTTTATAGGCATGAAATGAAATTAAGCCCCTCCCCCCAAATTAAGGCCTATATTAAAACATGCAAAATGGGGGGAATTGTGGGGGGGCTTGCCGTTAGGAAGTACTTTTGTTGCACACCAGGATATGGTGCTGCCTGCGTTGACCCCAATACGAAGTGCCCCACCAACGCCGAGGTCAACATCCAAGCCGTCGCCGCCTGCCCGAAGATGCAAGGGTGCGGAATTAAGTCACTCCCGAAAAGACGGCCTAGCCATTTTTTCGGGGCTCTAAAAAAAATAAGACCCGGCCTTATTATATGAGAAACACGGTAGTAGCTACATGAATACAAGGACTACTTGTATTGACTTCTACAATACCCACACCTCGATCAATGGCACCCACCTCTCTTCCTAGAAGAATGAAATATTTTGAGAAATATTTTTAAAAAGGCAGAATATTATATTTCCCTGGATGAGAAATTGAGAAACATGCTCTTGGAGACAGAAAGCAGTCCCCACCTTTCTTGTATGGCCCTCAGCAGACATCAGCACTTAAGAGAGAAAGAGCTTATTGTGACAGCTAGCTCTATTCATAAGCAAATTCCCTGCAGCAAGGTCTGAACAAAGGTAGGGTTAGCTCTCAGCTGCAATAGGAATTGCCCAACAATTGCCCTTCATTGCATCAGCCAAACTTCAACCAAACTTAGCTCAGACAAACTCCTAGGGTTTACACATGGTGTCAGCCTCAAGATATCTTCACCCCTCTCTATTCTTTATTTTGCTGTTATGCCATTTTCTCTTTTGGCTGCCATGAAACGGTGGGAGGGGGGAAACTTGGAAGGGAAGAAGGCAGGAGGTGTTTTGCATTCCTTTGCTGGGTTAAGAAGGGGAGGGGGGATTCTTTTCTTTAACTTTCCATTTCTTCGCTAGCCTCTGTTCTTTTCTGCGCAACTGCGAACTTTTATCAAAATATGTCAAGGTCACTGACAGTAGCCTCATCATCACCTGGAGATGACCACATGATCCTATTCAGAAGTTTTAATTGGAAGAATCATTTGATCTTTGGAGGGGGGGAGCAATTCTATCCTTTTGTATATGTGTTTTGCCCGCCAGTTTTTAGTTTCGGAATTGATTATGTTGCTACCATATCATCTTCCAGTAAAAGAATAATTCTGCTCTACACCATGGAGTCTGAGTATTTCTTTCTTGGGATTTAGAGGGAGCACAGTCTGACACATGGCACCATGGGAATCTGACATCAGCCAATAAAACACATGTTCTTGCATAGGAACAGCAAGTTCAAGGGCAAAGCCCAAGAGAAGGTATAAATACCCTCCCATTCCCAACTCCATGTGGTCAGTTGCACTAGAACCATGTGCTGGGTGGTTGTGCTTCATCATTAAACCATCTTTCCAATCCGCCTCCATCAGTGGTGGGATTCTACCAGTTTCCCTACCGGTTTGGTGGTCACACACTTCGTGCGTGCGCGCACCTAACACATGTGTGCAGCTTTCCAAACACCAGCTGTCCAATCAGCCGAGAGGATAAAGAACAGAAAGGCACGGGGGGCCAGTGGGAGGGCCGATCCTTCGTTTTTCTCTTTTTTCTCCTCTCAGCCGATCATCGGAGCTTTATTTACTACCAGGTCAGTTGAACCAGGTCGAACCGATAGCATTTCATCACTAGCCTCCACGTTTCCAGTGTCTTCCTCTCGGCTTGGAACTGAACCAGATGGACATTTCTTCCAACAACCCCCAACCCAAAGTCTCATGCCACAAGCAGCCAGCGTAACTATCATGCACCCGAACATGTAACACATTTCCAGATGCATCCAGGTGAGTTGTGCAGCCGGGTTGGCAGTTTTCCCGTGGCCTCTAATGGGGCTGCAGTTGGAAATCCCGCCCCCCCGCCGCCCCAAGCCTTGGGTTTTCAACCAAGCTGAGACCAAAGCAAGCTCCTTCCCCAGCTTTCTTACCTTCGTGCCCGGTGATTCACGTGCGGATGTTGCCGTGTTATAAGGGCACTCTCCCAAACGGGGCCACCATGGTTACTTCTATACCAGCTTGCTGCCAGATGCCCAGGATAAGTTGGGCCAGTAAAGCCATGGTCCGACTCCGTCTCGGTGGCCAGCGATGAAGCTGAACTCCCCATGGCTCCCCCCAACCCTGGCCGGGTCAAGATTTACTCTAGGTTAGGTCCCAGGGAGTGGCATGAGTTGTCGGCCTGAAAGGATGAAGACTCGTAGCATGGAGTGGAGCAAAAGATCCCACAACTGGAGAAAAGGAGGCTGGTGCTGATCGAAGAAAAGAAAAGACACACAAAAACAAAACAAAAACAACAATAACAACAACAAAACAAGAGGAGAGGGAGAGAAGAGAAACAGAGAAAGAGAAAGAAAGGTATGATTTTCTTTCAAACCCATGCAGTGACATTTTTTAAGAGTCTTGTCGAAATAAAAGGAAGCAGAGATGACGTCCGTTGATCATCAAAGCCAACGTGCAGAGCAATTCGGACTCAAAGGTGAGATTTGGGTGGGAAGGGGATGGAAGCCCACCTGGTCATGAAAGGCAACGTAGCATTAGCAATAGCACTTAGACTTATATATCACTTCCCAGTGCTTTAGAGCCGTCTCTAAACGGTTTACAGAATCAGCCTCTTGCCCCCAACAATCTGGCTCCTCATTTTACCCACCTTGGAAGGATGGAAAGCTGAGTCAACCTTGATCTGGTTAGGATCAAACTTCTGGAAGTGGGCAGAGTTAGTCTTCTACGCTGCATTCTACCCACTGCGCACCATAGAAGGAAGGAAGGAAGGAAGGAAGGAAGGAAGGAAGGAAGGAAGGAAGGAAGGAAGGAAGGAAGGAAGGAAGGAAGGAAGGAAGGAAGGAAGGAAGGAAG